TAGAGGGACCTTCCAATTGCTGGGTGAGTCTCTGGAAACTGCCTTTCTGTGTATCAGCTGCACCTTCAGATACTCTCTTTCCTGTCTGGTTCACAGCAGGCTTAACCTTGTTTGTTTTCAGAGACTGGTTAGTTTCTGGTGCAGCATCGTGTGCAAACGGGGATTCACACACAAAACACTTGAGTCCCAGAAGGGAAAATTCACCAAGGTTGCCACTAACCTGGTGTGAGAAGGTTGTGCAAAGGCACCTCCCAGGCGTATCACTGGCCCAGTTAAATCTGTGCGAATCTGGCCTCCGTGGGCCTGGAGAATCCCTGCAGACAAAATGCCGGCTGCTTCCCAAACCAGGATGTTGGAAGGAGCCAAACGTGAGACAGGCCGAAGCCTCTCAGTGCTCTGCCCAAGTGTTGGGGGGCCTCTTTCTCCAAGCACAGCCCCCCACATGAAGCTGCCTCATCTGGGGAGGCCCTTGGCACATCCAGATCCCCCACCCAGCCTCTCCAGGCTCCTTCCCAAGGATGCCCAGAGTTTCCAGCTTGAGCCTGAAATAAATTTCACCAGCCTTTCTCTCTAGCAGTTGACGCCTTCAACTCCCATCATTCTAGGAAGGGCCATGCTGGCTAGGGATGATGGGATATCCAGTCCCACCCATCTGGAGGGCACCTGTGTGGGGAGGGCTGGCCTATCTGGAGAGGCTGGGCTTTGAGCCAGTCCTCCAATCCCGAGGCTGGTGATCCTCTGTTTTGGGGGGACAGTTAGCCTCCCTTCTGTGTGGGACCAGTTTCCAAGGGGGGAAGGGGCCCCAGCTGCAAAATGGGCCCCTGAGCATTTACTCCCCTCCAGCAGAAAGACATTGTTGGCTGCTCCTTGCATGCATGCAGGGACACAGAAGCACATGCACACAGTCAAAGTTTAACAAGACATCTGCTGAACATGTTGATGTCCTTAAAGCAGGGTTTCTCAACTGGGGTTCCGCGAGAGGTCACAGGGGTTCCCTGCTAGATCAGAGTGATGAGCAGAGGCTGAACAAACCCCCTCCAACCTCCAACACTGGGTTGACCCACCGGAGTGCGCACAGACCCCGGGCAGGGGTGGGGATTGTGCATACAAGCAAGGAGGCATGCAAAGCGTGACCCAGGAGGGGGACTTGCCACTCAGCCATAGCTGCTCATGCAAGAGATGCCGCCAGGGCCTTCCTGTCCACTACGTGGAGCTCTCCTTGCCGGCATGCACCTCCCTTTCTGCAGGAGCAGCGGCCCAGGGGGTTCAGGATGGGTGCAGGAGATCTGGGGCTGGCCTGGCCTGGCCTGGGCGGCAGCGGCAGCAGGAGCCACCCACAAATGAAATTGGACGATGGCTTAAAATTAAAAAAGATATACACATAATAAATCAGAAGAGCGATGTGGGTTATTTTCTTATACTGGAATTGCAAAAGGGATTTCTTGGGGTTGTCACACGGGGGCCTGACAAAGATAATGACAAGAATTTTGAGGGAAGAGAGGAAGAGGGTATGAGAAGGCAGATGTTAGAACTTCCTTTGAGGAATTTAAAGATTGTTGGGAGAAAAAAGAAAGAATTCAGAGTTGGTTTATCTGATCAAGGTTAAAATAATGGGTTGCTATTTCTGGTGATGTTTAATGGCTTCTTGATTGGGACTGGACTTTAGAGGAAATAAGGGGGATCTGTTTAAATGGAAAGGAAGGATTCAGATTGGGCTTAATAGGTACAATTTGTAATACTTTTGTTGTTATTTCTGATAACCCTTCCTGGACTTTTGCTGTTTAATATGGAGAAATGATGTTTTAGAGACGGGCTTATAAAAAATGGGATGAGGTATCAAATGAAGAGGTGTTTGATTGTATTTTAAGAGATAGTGATAAGTTGTTAACGTTGATTATACCTGTTGGGGATGAAGGGGGGGGTTCTTTTTCCATTTTTCTTTCTTTCCCTTTTTTTCTTTTCCTGCACTTTTTAATTTTTTAAATGTATTTCTGTATTATGTGGTTGTATTAGTTTGATTGGTATAATATAATTTTTAATAAAATTATTGGAAAAAATGAATTCTCATAAAAGTTCTCAATAATTGTGTGCCATCAAATCATTTTCCACTTCTAGTGACCACACAGATAGACTTTCTCCAGTACACTAACCTGTTATTTCAGGACTCCCAATGCTGCACTCGTTGCCATTGTAACTGAATCAGTCAATGAATGCATACATACATACATCTAAACATACATACATTTTAGAAAAATTTCCCTCTCACCCCTATGGGTGGTACGTGTCTTCCTCCATCTCGGGTCCTCTACCAGGGGCCTGGGAGTTTGGGGGTTCTGCACAGTATCTGAGCTGCTCCTAGCCCTGCACTCTTCTGCACAGAGAGCTCTGATGTGGTTCCTGAGATCTGTTGGAGCCATTGCCCCAGCTTAGGAGTCACGGCCCCGAGTGCTCCTACCACCACTGATGTGATGGAATGGAATTATGAAGGCCACACTCAGGGAGGCAAGCATCCTCTTTCGTCTCCAGAAGGGCGAGGAAGAGATAAGAGGATGAGGCTGGCACCTCCCTGAGTAATTCACTCTGTTTTCACAGCTACAGTGGGAACAGAGTTTCAG